ACACACACACACACACACACACACACACACACACACACACACACACATATATTTGTGCTCACATACACACAAGTAGCAAAGAGAACACGCACACATTTGCAGATACAAACGTACACAATCAAACACACCTCAGCGCCACACTTAAACATGCACGTTAATTCAAGCATGCATAAGCACACACCTACACACAAACAAAAATAAACACCTACACACTTTCACACAAACACACACATACACACACATCTGTCCACCCTGCCTTGCCTGGAGCTCACTATGACCCGGCATTATTACAACTTTAAAAATCAAATTTTGCTAATGCACAAGGTGACACACTGACATCAGACAGTGTGTCATACGCATTGCGCACACAAACATGCATGCTGGAACAAAAGACAAAGAACACACATATAAAATCGAATGAAATGTGCAAAGACAGCTGAGCTGGATTCAGCCAGTCAACCACTTTATTTCTGCTTCCACCTACAATGCAGACCCAAAGGCAACCAGCTTACATCAACAACTTCCAACAAGAAACCAGACAGCTGAATGAGCACACATCCAAAACCGTACAGTAAGTAGGAAAAGAAAGCAGGGAGGAAAAGGTTCTGTTTGGAGCAGTGGGGCTCAAAATCAATGAGCCGAAGCATTATCAGTATCAGCTCAACAAGTCCGTTGTTTCGTCAAAGTGCACTTTAATAAAACTGATCCGTTCAGGATCTCCAAATCTGTTTTCTTCCCCTGACCACCACCATCCTTTAGAAGATGACTCCATCAATTTAGAACTGCACTCCTATAAATAACACTGTCAGACTCACAGTGGACACATTAGGGGACAGAAATGCATCAAAATCGATGCAGCAAAACCAAAAATATAAAAAAAACAGCCAAAAAAGATCATCTTTTTTATTAAGAGCATTCTCCTTTCCTGTCAAGACCTGGCAAGGAAAACCTACACCACCCACAACGCAGCTTGACTGCTGACATCGGTCTGTCATAAATCATATTTGTATAATGCATTTGTAAAGAACACACTTAGCCGAAGACGGTCCTGCTGTAACATTAGCAAAGCCAATCCCATTAAGATTAAATGTGTTTAACAGCGGAAGAGTGGAATCTAGTAAAGGTTTATCAGTGGTACCAAAATAGCTAATATGACAAACAAAATGAACGGGGTGCACATAATGGATAATGAGGTGGTGAGTTTTCAGGCACACGTCAAGCCTAAAAAGGAAGAGAAGTAGACCAAGACTATGACATGGAGCCAGAATCAGACCAAGTCCCTGATCCCCTGCTGGTCAGAGCTGAATGGCTTGTTCCAAAACGTTCTGGACTCAGACATTCCCCAGATGCCGCAGTGTTTTTAACACCAACAGACATAATTCAAATGTAAAACAATTGCAATACAGAGACTCACTCATACACTTAAACCCAAACTGCATCAACCGTGGAAATAAGCATTAAACCGACAAGATGATGGATCTGCCCACTAGCAGCTGATCATGGGATGCATGAGCGGGGCAGCCAGTGAAGTCCAGATGTATGGTGATATGTGTCAAGTGTGGTGTGACACACACACACACACACACACACACACACACACACACACACACACACACACACACACACACACACACACACACACACACACACACACACACAGACTACCGAGGGTGAATGAGACACTAAAGAGGGAGCAGGCATCGCCATGACAGATTTTGACGACTGCCTGGTATGTGATTTCCAATCACATTCGCATCGTTATTGAACCAATTAAATGCAAAAGAGGCCAACATTTAAAGCTGCTAACTACATGAAACAGAGGCAGATGTTGTGAAACAGAGGCTAATATTACAGCAAGTGCATTACTGCTTGTATAAAATCAGGCAAACCGTTACTTTGCCATGAATACTTTCACAGAGAACAGGAATATTACACGGGGAAAAAAAACAACATTGTTGTTGTTTTTTGGAATGAGGTTGATTTTTAATGAATAAAGGCATTAACCAATCATGTTGTGCTCAACCCCTAAAGAAGGACAGCTTGAATACAGCAAGCATAGATATGTGAAAAAGAAGTATAAAATATTGATGACTGTCTTAAAGAAGTCACAGATCACATCTTAAACACCTCCGGCCTCTCTGGAAATGTAGTCTGGACGTCTAAAAGTAGCATCTTAAAGACGTCTCATCAGTGACGCACAGTACAGTGTCACAGGAAGACGTATTAAAAGAAATGTCTTTCTCCCTCCTCTTAAGACGTCTTCTGGACGTCCAAACATACTGACTTACAGACATGTTTGTGCTCACCGGGCAGTTACATGTCGGCAGCAGCAGGACTTTGTGTTTACAATGAAAGAAGTGTGGAGATCTCCAGAATTTAACACAAATCCATATAAGAGCATGTTTAGACTGGAGAGCCAAAGCTAGACTAACTAGTCTGAGAGCTGTGTGTGTGTGTGTGTGTGTGTGTGTGTGCACGTTGACTGCTGTCCCTGTCCATCAGAGGGTCATATGAGGAGCAGATTAGGGTTTCTAACCACAAACCCCTGTCGCCATGGCCCCATCGTCACCGAGAAGGTGAGGAGAGTCATCGTGTTCCGAACCACCACTGACTCACCCCTCCTTATCTCGCCGCCATGCAAGAGTACACAGAACACACACAAACACACAAAACCACATCTAAATCAGGACTTTGTGGTACAGCCTGTCTCACGTGTTCTTCATCCCTTCTGCAGCCTTCAAAATCTCAACCAATCACGTCAGTTCGAGCCAGAGCAGAAGAATGCCATCATCCAAATTAGGACAGCAACTAATGGTTATTTACATTCATTCATTACATTTTCAATACTTATTATTTTCACAATCAAACGATTAATAGTTCATACTGTAAGAGTCAGTAAAAAAGCTATTTTGATTTGGATCTTGGGGAAAAAAAAACACCAAGTGATAACATGCTGAAGTGAAAGCACTTATTTCCAATACAGCGCCAACATGTTAAAAGACCTACAATCAAACAGTAAGACTACAATCTTACTACAACAGTCCAAACTAAAACAAAAATACAAAACTATAGGGCAAAAACAGATTGATATCACAATTTCATTCATATCACCTTCCACCAGAAAACCTC